TATATGAGATTGCTTATATGAGGAATCTAAACAAACAAACAAACAAAACATAAATACAAAACAGAAACAGACTCATAGACATAGAATACAAACATGTGGTTGCCAAGGGGGCGGGGGGGTGGGAAAGAATAGGCGGGATTTCAGAATTGTAGAATAGATAAACAAGATTATACTGTACAGCACAGGGAAATATATACAAGATCTTATGGTAGCTGACAGCAAAAAAAAAAGTGACAATGAATATATATATGTTCATGTATGACTGAAAAATTGTGCTCTACACTAGAATTTGACACAACATTGTAAAATGACTATTACTCAATAAAAAAATGCAAAACAAAAAACAAAATGTCGAGCCTGGAATGCGGGTCATATGTCTGGAGCTGACATTTAAGAAAAGAGATCGCAAGGTTTGAACACTAAAGACACAGCATATTTAGTCCTCTTTTCATCAGTAAAGTGGACAAAGTTCTCCAAACAGAATTTTCAGCATTTGAAAGAAACTTCCTTGTGTATATATGAGTGTAGCTTCCAAAGCAAATATTAACCTCCTTCAAAGATAATAAGTAATTTCTACGTTACGGGAGAAGTCTGCCTTCCAGCTAAAGTATTTGAAGTGGAGACGGAGATGGACAGTTTTTTAAATGTGTGAATTTAAAGGAGGGGAGGGAATAGCTCAGTGGTAGAGCATGTGCTTGGCATGCACGAGGTCCTGGGTTCAATCCCCAGTAATCTAGTTGAATCTCCATTTAAATAATTAAATGAATTTAATCTCATTAAAATAAACCCAATTACCTCACCAAAAAAAAAACTAGAAAGAAAAGAAAGAATAAAAAATAAAGTAAAATGTGTGACTTGAATCCACTAGCCCTGCTGACATGGGACTCTGGACACACTACCGTGAAGAGGAGGCTTTTTTCCTTTTCGGCACTTACTTCTGGCGTGGATGGCTAGTTGGGTGTTTTCTGGTTTAGGCACAGGCAGCGCGCCCGCGTGCCGAGGCCCCCTGGCTGGGAAGGCCCGTCCATCCTGTTCAGCTTACAGCTTGCTGCTTGAATTCAGAGACTCTCCCTGGAATGGCTCAAGATGTACTGGGCCCTCCGGGCTGGACTGCCCGCCTCCCCGGGGTGGGTTACAGACCTCCCCTCAGAGCCTCCACCACCTAGGATCTGAAATAGATCCGACCTCTGAACAGCGCGGACATTATCCCGGCTATAACTTATAATGGACCCTCCGTATCCGAGGTTCCCTGAATCCACAGATGGAACCAACCACTGACCGTCTAGTAGCATTTCCTGCTGAAAACCATCCACGTGGGGACCCGCACAGCTCAGACCCGCGTTGTCCAAGGGCCGACTGTAATTTCTGTTGCTGGTGAGCGGTGGAGGCCGTCCCCAGCCCAGGAGGGAGCGGAGCCTGCCGGTGAAGGGAGGCGGGCATGCTGCGGAGGTGGGGGCCGGGGAGGCCTCCCTTCCTCCCAGCTGTTTCTCACGCGGTGAAACCCTGCCCAGGTGGTGTTCTCAGCTACATGGTTCTCACGCTGTGATCCGTGATCCAGCAGTGTCGGCCTCACCCAGGAGCTTGTTTAAAATGCCAGTCTCTCTCCCCTCCCCGGGCCCCCTGAGTCAGAAACCCCAGGACAGGGTGGGGGTCCCGTGTCTGAAGGAACCCCCCCCCACCCAGGGACACTGATTCCCCCTCCAGTCTGGGAGCCAGTGTCTTAGCTGAGTGGTCTAGGGCTCCTGCCAGACCCACTTTGTGGTTCTCCATTCAAATTTTATCATTATTGATTTGGTAAAAATAGGCCTGTCAGGGAGCTTTCACTGTAGATACTCGTTTTGAATAAGACACCAAAGCATCTTTCCTGGCGGTGAAGGCCGGGCTGCCATTAGCTGACTGCCTGGCTTCATGGGTCAAGCGCCTGGCTTCGTGGGTTGAGCACCTGACCTGGCAGATGTGTCCTAACGTCATGAGGTCCAGAAGCTGAGGCACCTTGTGTGACGGGCTGAGCTATTCCAAAGGTGTGTCACCCTTCCCCTGGCTTCCTCTCCTCTCTTCCTTCCCAAACAGGAGCCCAGAACCCCTCACCCACCAGGAATGAGAGGGTGGAAGTTAGTATGGAGCCAGAGGAACCTGTGTTTGAATTTCAGCTCTGCTACTTTCTGGCTGTGTGATTTTGGGCAAGTTACTTAACCTCTCTGACCCTCTGTGTGCTTATCATACAATGGTGCTAACAGTGCCTGGTGAGAGAACTGCTTTGGGGATTCGGGGAGGTGGGAAGCCTCGTCACAGTGTGAGACACCTGGTGGATGCCTTGGTACGTGCTTTTCTTTCCTAAGCGGGGATTCTGCAGGCAGTCAGCCCTCAAAATTCGGAAAATTTAGCTCTTAGATGATATGGACCCTGAGTTTTGGCTGCTGCTCCTTCCCTGCTTCATGAGCATGTCCCCCAGCAAAGAGGAGGAGGAGGAAGTGAACGGCTTGAGCCAAAGCCTGCTGGTGAACCGGCTGCAAGCCCCCGGGGCGCTGTGGTGGCCTGGGGGCCCCAGGCAGCCTGGGGAGCCAATAACGTCACCCTGCGCCATCGGAGGACACAGAAAATGGTGCGGACCTTGAAGGCATGTGGCTTGGCAGATTTTTCTGGGATGACTTGGAAGGACAGAAAGACGTGGGCTGGAATAGTTCCAGCCAGCTTGCCACATGCAGTCCCAAATCCTCCTCTGCCTGGCAGCCCGGCAGGGTCCTGCGGAAAGCGGCGGGTGTGCGCACCATAGGCCTCTCCCAGTCTGCATCCTTCTGTCTGTCCCATCAGGAGATCCATACAGTGGGACCCTCTCCGGGAAGCTGGATGTGGCCGGGCGTCCGAGGAACCGTGGAGGTCCTGTTGTTTATTTGGCGAGAGCAGCCTCAGGGAGAAGATGGGGTTTGCATTAGAAAATAACCAGGTTCCGGGGGGGGGTAGTCTGGCGCAGGGGATCGTCCTGGCTGTACGCGGCCCACCTGCGGGGGGCGCTGTTCACATCCAGCACGGACCGAGTGGGCCCCGGGGTGTGCACCTCCGCCCTGCGGGCAGGGACAGCTCTTTTGGACATGAATGCCCTGCCCAGGGACAGACAACCGAGTGCCAGAACTGGGGTTTGAACCAGGGCCTTAGCCGCTGTGCTATGTATGGGTGGTGCTTGGGTGTCGTAGCATTTAGGACCTTTCAGGCTAAGCAGCCTCACCACCTTTTTGGCAAAAGTAAAACTCCCTCCAGCCTCTCTGACAGCTGACGTCTTGGATCGCTGTGTCTAGGCAGGCTTTACTGACCTCTTTCTAAAAACATGCAAAATGCAGAGGGCCTGGCTATTTGGGAACAAAACAAAACAAAACAAAACACTAGGCTCTTCAGTTTGGCCTGGAGTTAAAACGCAGCAGCAGCTGCAGGTGATAAGGCAGCAGTTAGGGACCATGACCCCCCGGGTACCTGAGAGCCACGCAGGGCCGGCCTGGGGCCGCAGAAGCCAGGTAGAGGCCAGAAGTCCTGGCCCCGCAATGGTGGCTGTGGGCCTCGAGATGAAGTGGGCACCTTTGGGGTGGGGGTCTGAGGCATCAGTGGGGGTCCATTGTTGGAAACTCATGGCTTAAGTAGCAGCCTGGCAGCCATCCCACGAGGGAATCCCCAAAAAGGAGCACCCAGGGGAACCCAAGCCAACCTCCTAGGTGAGCTCATTTGGGATTTGGGGGAGGGCAGGTGGAGGAGGACAGGATGGATGTTAAATCCAAACCTCGGCATGCACTTTGCTCCTTTCCCTCTTCTCTGATAACAATATTCTGACGTGCCAGTCTTGTACAAAAGGAGTTCAGCGCATGAACTCCAGGGTGTGTTCCGGCTGAGCCCCCTAAGTGTGTTCTGGCAGTTGTTTTATTTGAGGAAGCAGATCTCTACCACGGCAACCGCCACAAGGGTGGCAGACTTTTTAAGGATTTACGTGGCACAGGTTCGCTTCTTCCCAGCCAGGCGCTCAGATTTCTCTGCGACGTGGAAATCGTTTTTCCGCTGGTGGTGCAGCTGCCTTCCTGGGCTCCCAGCAAGTCATTAGAACGGACGACTCCCTTCACTTTTCTTTCCGTCACAGAATGGCTTAGATTGAAGTCCATGTTTGGTGAAGCCCGTGTGGCCCGATTCAAGTGGAAAGAAAGGAAACAAAAGAAAGAAGTGAAATTCAAGTGAAATTCAAGTGAAATTCAAGTGAAATTCAAGTGAAACAGCTGTGTGTCCCGTGGGCCAGAGCTGCACCTGCGGGGTGGCCCAGACGCTCCCCCCGGGATCCAGGCCCCCGAGTCTCTTCCCAGCGAGACCCCTCTCTCCAGCAGGGCCTCTGGACACCGGCCCTCACCCACCCAGCTCTCTATCCTCTGTGCCTGACGTGTCCCAAAGACCTCAGGGGTGCCATCACTCTGAGTGCACACCACCCAGCTCTCCAGCCTCTGTCTCTGAGCACTGCGGCCCGGGCCCCACCAGGGAGGACCTGACATCAAGACGGCAAAGCTCAGAGGGACCTTTGGCAGGAAGATTGGGGGACCCCTTATATTTGGAGAGAGGGATAAGGTCGCAGACCTCCCTGAGTTGTTACCTACAAAGCGCGCGCCTATTTTATTTATTTATTTATTTATTTTTTTTGCACATTTCTTTTACAAACACCTTTCATGCTTCCGTGTCTGCTCCAGTTCATTTGCCCAGATTTATTCCAGACGGTCTTCTTCTGGAGCAGTTCCTGTCGTCAGCAGACTCAGCAGGACTTTGAACTGATTTTTCAAATTGATTTCTCTTTCTGGAGCCCAGCCAGACCTGATGTGTGGATGCACGAGTGCCTCCTCACTAAACCCCAAGCTGTGTTCTGACCAAAATCACAGGACTGGCTCACAACCCCCCCTCCCCCGCTGCCAAAACCCGATGCAGTCAGCTTGGCCAGACTCCGTGGTCCTTGCATCCATCCATGCATCGCAGGAGAGGTTTGGAGCACCTTCCCTGTGCCAGGTTCTGCGCTGCATCCCAGGGACTCGGGTGCGCAGAGGACAGGTGGCATCCCTGACCTTGCAAGCCTACGCCTGGCGTCAGTACTGACAGCAGACGTATCTGGTATTTCGTGTGCTGGGCACAGCGCTAAGCCCATTACATGGGTTATTGCATCACCGAGTCGAAATAAATACCCTCTAAGGCAGAGCTTTGCGAACTCCGGCCCACCGCCTGTTTTTGTAGATAAAGTTTTATTGGAACACAGCCATGCCCGTTCCTTTACGTGCCATCTGTGAGCGCTTGTGTGCGACAGTGGTGGAGTGAGCGGCTGCAGCAGCGGCCATAGGGCCTGCAAAGCCTGAAGTAGTTCTCTGACTGTAGGAAAAGTTTTGGCCCTGATTCAGGTCAGAGTCATTCTCTGGGTTGTGTAGATGAGAACAGAGGCTGAGGAATCAGGCAGGAGCTCTCACTCCATGGCTTCGATGTGACGCAGGTCTTGCCCTGCTGTGACACTGACTGTGCCCTTGGTCCTTTCTGAGCTCCGTGGACTTCCCTGTCCCACAGGGAAACACTCAGCTGCAGGTGGGGCTCCCTGGGAGCCGCGTCTGGGATGAATCTGGATGACGTTTTAGGGGGAGTGCCCTTGGGAACAACACCCATGGGTAGAAGGGCGCGGGAGGGGGCGAGGGAGACTCTGGGCTGTGAGGCACTCGCAGCTGTGGCCTCGGCCAGCACCCCATCCAGGTCTCCCCAGAGCTGGGTGATTTGTTAGCTTTGCCTCGAGTTGGAAACCGGAGGACGGGCCGTTGTCCCCGCGTGGATCAGTCACTGGTCGTAACTCGGCCTGGAGGGGGAGAGCCTCTGGGGGTGGGGGGTGGCTGGGCTGTCTAGCAGAGGCAGGGGGCTGTCAGCTGCAGCAGTCCCTGCAGTGGTGGCAGGGGGCCCTGGGCGCCCACATCTGTGCCTTCTGACTCAGGTGACCTGGGAAAGAGGGTGGCCGGTGGGCGGTATGCACAGCTGCTCGAGTGGGAGTAGCCGGAGCGCTGGCAATCGGGAAGAGCAGGCCCGCGTCCCCTCCCCCATCCTGCTTCTCCCGATGGCCGGATTTCAGCACTTGCTTTCCCAGGCCTTTGATCTGGGGCCAATGGAAAGAAGTACCCCTCGCCCATTCCCCAAACCCTGAAATCCGCAAGTAAGATACATGCCGTGGCCAGCATCCTCAGGCTCTCGGTGGGTGTGACATTTGGGCCTTGATTTGGTTTGGTGCCGGACACGCCCTGCTCCAGGAATACTGGAAATTGTGTGTCTTGCTGTGAGAAGTGACACTGTGTGAATGCAAACGTTCGTTGCAAGCTCTCCATTCACGGAGGCTGACGTATTTATCTCCATCTTCCCCAATTTCTAGTTTCAGTGGCGATTCTCCCGAGAAGAAATGCGCAACAGGCAGTCCAGGAAATCCAGGGGTAAGCGCGGAGCCAGAGACAAGCAGCAGACAGAAGAAAAGGAGAAGAATCTAGAAGACCAGTTTCCCAAAGCGGGAGACGTGGGAAACCATCTGCCAGGGCCGCAGCAGGAGGACTGGGCCTCCGAGGAGAAGGTCACAGGGGAAAAGCTGTGTCCCGACGGCCAGCTCTGTGTGGATGGCGGGGCCGTGCAGAACGGTCCCTCCGGCCACAGCCCGGCCCCGGCTGGGGGCGGCGCTGGGTGCTCCAGTCCTGATCCTGGAGAGGGTGCCAGGGAGGGAGGTGCTGGGGAGGGAGGTGCTGAGGAGGCAGCAGCAGAGGACAACTGAGTCCCCGGCAGGTGTGCTGAGGCCTGACCAGCCGGCACACTGGAGGCACGTTGCCAGTGGCCCGGCTGGGGGCTGGTTGGCCCTGGTGTCCAGTGTTACCCTTTGGCTTGGCTTGACCTCTCCTTGTGAGCTTACCTGGGCCCTGTGAGGGCTGGGTCATTGACAGTGTTGGTTTCTGCACATCCATTTGAAACGCGTTGTGATGCCCCAGCGTTAGAACGCAAGAGGTCAGGTTACTCCTAGGCCTCGGGGCTGGAGGCCCAGCCTGGCTCCACCGCTCCTCCTTGGACGGGCTGGACCACCCAGTGCCGGTGTCCACCCCCGCCCCCAGGGCCTATGGGAGCCTTTGGGCCACATGCAAGGGCCTCCCTGGCTAGAGTGAAGGCCGAGCTGTTCATCCCCAGCCCCTCAAGGGCAGAGGGCAGAGTCCATCCCTGCTGTTCGCTGCAGCTCCCTGACGATCATGACAACCTCTGGCGCCCTGCCAGCTGCCCTTCTCCCCTCAACCCCCCTTGGACCCCATTGCTTTGGCAAAGAAAATGACATTGGGGAGGGGAGGTGCCCCACCTCCTGGCTTTTCTCAAAGTGTTCCCATAGATACTGGTAATCTGGAAATGAAGAGCTTATTCTGTGTGTGTACCTACTCTTGCAGAATGTCCGAGAAAGTATTCTGTGTTAGTATTAACGCCAAAAATTTTTTAAAGGTTTTGTATTCAGCACATCATATGAACATGCGTTCTGTCTGTCATTTTGGGGCACACCAACTGGGGGGAGCCCTGGTTATGTGCTGCTTTCATCAGTGTATCATTGGCCAAGTCACTTCCCATGGATGCTGTCACGTGTTTGTATCGCCCAGAAAGTGTTGTTGAGGCTTTAAGTAGTGCAGCTGGCAAACCTTGAGGCGAGAGCGCCAGCCGTCTTGACCAAAACAGCAGCCTGTCTCTTCTCTTTCTTGTTTAGTTACTCAAAGCAATAAATCATCTGTGAGTTTAATGCATTGTGAGTATTGAGAATTTATCACATCACAGTGAAAGGTCGTAGCCTAGCGTCCAGAGGATTGGACCCTGGGTCCTCCATTCACATTGCCTAAGTTTCAGACTCCTGGGAACAACAGGATGACTTTGGAGAAGAGACAGAAGCTCCTGTGAGAATATTGGAGCCAGCTGAGCAGCTCTGCTTTCTGGTTATTTGTAGAAAGAAGACAGAAAACGAGAATCAGGTGCCAGCAGGTAAGTCAGGGTGTGGCCACCTCCCACCGCCCAGAGCCCCAGAGCGGTGGAGCCGAGAACAAAAAGCCCTACAAGCAGTTTCTAAGCACGTCTCCAAGCTTTTAAGTCAGTTTCAAGAAGTGAGTCTTTGTTTTCAAATTTGCTAAAATAAAACACATTGTTCATAGATTTTTATGGGGCAGAATTGAAACCCTTAGACGGCCCCACTATAGTCGTTCTTCCTGTTGATTTTTGAGCAGACTTCCCTCCCAGCCCCCCAGAGCCTACCCACAAAGGTTGAAGGCTCTGTCCAAAGAGAAGATACTTTTATAAATATAGTTCTAAAGAAGGCAGTTTGTTCAAAGTTATTTTTAAATGACATTTCCCACAATTATACCCGGAAAGATCTACACAGCATTTTGACTTAATACACATACTATCTCTTAGCCCGTATTTTAGAGGACCATGACCCTTGAGAAATAGGCTCCCCAGCAGCGGGCTGGGGCGGAAACAAAGGCCCGCAGCTCTCAGGACCCCGGCCGCGCCCTCCAGGTGGACAGCTGACATCACTCGGAGTGGGGTCTAGTTTTTAATAATTAAATGACATTGATGGTGGCGGGATTTGTTGTGGAAAAAAGTTACAAGTGGATGTAGCTCATTTGAATGCGCAGCCTAGCATCCGGCTAACGGGTAACTCCCGAAGGTCTTACCCTCCCGGCTCCTCCACGCCCCTGCTGCTGTCCGGCCAGGTTTCAGCTTACCTCGGGCAGTTCTCTATTGGCTGCACCTTAGAGTCACTGAGGGGGGAGTAGGTTAAGAAATTCCTGACACCTGGGTCCCACCCAGGAGGCTGCGGGTGGTTGCCCTGGGGCGTGGTCGCGGCCTGCGGGATGGATAAACCCGGGAGTCGGCGGTGAGGCCAGGAAGGAGCCCCACGGCCACGGGACGTCTAGGAATCCCATCCCAGCTTCTCTGTGAGATGAGGTGCTTTCTACGAAAGGTAAACAAGCCCCTCAAACCTGGTCCTTACATCCCGTGTGAGTGTGGGGCCGCTTGGAGGAGATTTTACTTTGCTGTGGTTGCCAGTAGGGGAAAAGGCTATGGTGCATGGGCCCTGCCAAGGCCCCAGTGACCAGCAGAAGCAGCAAAGACTTGCAGGGTTTGGCATGAGACTTGTGCACGTGGTGGTGAGTCCTTGGGGCTGCGGCGGCCACGGCGGGTCTGGAGGGACGGGGGTTCCTGAGAGGTGATCCGCTACCAGAGGCAGGGACACAGGTAGCTGCCCTGGCCCTGCTGCCACCCATGGGTAGAATCTTGTTGCAAATGCCACTCCCCGACGGGGCCTCCTGGGGAGTCCGAGGCACTCAGACTTGCGGGGAGGCCAAGATCTGCCTCATGGAGGGAGAAGAGAGGCTGCCCCAGAGGGTTCTGGAAGGTCTTCGGGCCAGTGTTTGCCTGCAGAAGGTTTTAGAGGGAAAGGGAAAAAAACCTCTCCCAGGAACAAGAGATGTTCCTCTGAAACTGTGGCTGAATTCTGAGCCTTTTACTCGAAGTGTAAATTTACCCATCCTCCTACGGATGCACAATTAAACTGCTTCCACGCCTGACTATTTTCAAACAGTGCTGTGTGAACATGTTTGCTCGTTTCCTGGTGACCACGTATGAGAACGTCTTTGGAGTGTGTATCTAGGAGGCCTGCTGGGTTGAAGGATATACACACCTCCAGTTTATTAGATGTTGTCAAACAATTCTCCAAAGTGACTACAGCAGTTTGTACTTCTGACGCCAGTGTCCAAGGATTCCTGTTTCCCCGTCTCTTCACAGCGTGGGGTTATTAGTCCACTGATTGTCGTCATGTTCGTGTTAATTGCATTGTCCTTGTGACTGGTCGGTTTGGGCGTCTGTCCTGTTTATTGGCCATTTGAGTGCCCCTTTCTGTGAATTGCTTGGTTATACCTTTTCCTCAATTTTCCATATGTTTGTCTTTTTAAATTGATTTATGCAAGTTCTTTAGGGATTCTAGGCATTAATTCCTTGCTTATGATATGCATTGCAAATCTCTTCCCAGTTTTTAGTTTGATTTTAACTTAGTTTATGTTATTTGCCTCCATTAAAGTTTTAAAGTTTAAAAAAAAAGTGGGGGAGGATGTACCTCAAGTGGTAGAGCGCATGCTTAACGTGCACAAGGTCCTGGGTTCAATCCCCAGTACCTCCTCTAAAATAAATAAATCAACCAACCAACCAACCAACCTAATTCCCTCCTCCCCCTACACCCCACAAAAAGTGTTTTCAAGACCCGCTCTCACTCCTAGGAGGTTCAGGAGAGGATGTGGGTGCTTAGTGCCACTCAAGGGGCCATCAGGGGAGGGGAAGGAAATCTTACCAAACTGGCTTGAAAAAACGCAGGTGTACTGCCCTAAAGTGCACACGGCCACAAGGTCAAGTACTGACCTAGGGAGGTCCTGAGGACACCTGCGTTAGGGAAGTCACCAGGTGGCCTGTTTTGTGCTGGGCTTCATGGGGTGGACCCGCCCAGCCCAGCTTTGGAATCAGAGCTGGGCTAGCTGACACGTGTAAATTCAAGTCAGGTTTTTCGCATCTCCCAGCATCCATCTCCTCACGTGTGGATGAGGCTGACGCCACCTCATCAGGTTTTTTTTGACGATTTGTGCGCTGTACGTGAAGCATTTGGTCTGTTGGGTGCAGTTAATCATATGCCTTTGGGTAATAACGTGGCAGAGACCACCCCTGTTCACCCGACACCCGTGGGCTCCTGTACTTCACAGCCCCTCTCGCAGTTGGGGGCCATGTGACTGGGTTCTGGCCAACGGGACATGAGCAAATGTGATGCAATCCACTCTGGGCCTCACCTTTTTTATTTTTTTAATTGAAGTACAGTCAGTTACAATGTGTCAATTTCACACAATGTCCCAGTCATGCATATGCATACATATATTCGTTTTCATTTTTTTATTAAAGGTTATTACAAGATACTGAACATAGTTCCCTGTGCTATACAGAAAAAACTTTTTAAAATCTGTTTTTATATATAGTGGCTAACATTTGTAAATCTCAAACTCCCAAATTTATTCTTTCCTACTTCCTTTCCCTGGTAACCATAATACTGTTTACTATGTCTGTGAGTCTGTTTCTGTTTTGTAGATGAGTTCATGGTGTCTTTTTTTTTTTTTTTTTGGTTTCACATATGAGTGATATGGTATATTTCTTTCTCTTTCTGGCTTCACTTAGAATTATGAACTCCAGGTCCATCCATCTTGTTGCAAATGCCATTATTTTATTCCTTTTTATGGCTGAGTAGTATTCCATTGTATAAATACACCACAGCTTCTTTATCCAGTCATCTGTTGATGGGCATTTAGGTTGCTTCCATGTCTTGGGTATTGTAAATAGTGCTGCTATGAACATTGGGGTGCATGTACCTTTTCTAATTAGAAGAGTTCCCTCTGGATATATACCCAGAAGTGGGATGGCTGGATCATATGGTAAGTCTGTTTTTAGTTTTCTTGAGGAAACTCCATACTGTTTCCCATAATGACTTCACCAAACTACATTCCCACCAGCAGTGGAGGAGGGTTCCCTTTTCTCCACACCCTCTCCATCGTTTATCATTCGTGGACTTTTGAATGATGTGGGCCCCACATTTAAAAGCATCTCATGCTGCCCAGCCCTCCCTTATCCCACACCCTTGGCAAGTTCAAGATGGACTGTGACCTGAAGGATAAGTAAACCTTTGCTAGCCCCTGACACGATAAAGTTTATCAGAAGCACAGCATATCCCATCCCGACTAATAGTAATACTGCGGTAATGTTTATAAAGTCTTAAGGTATTTGTTAGTGGTTTAAAAGTCACACAACGGTGAACGTGAGTCCCACCCTTGTCTGAATATTTTCACATCTCTAAGTGGATCACCCTTCACCAGAGTTATGCTTAATGGGACTAGATTTAAGAAAACGCTGGAAGGAGACATTCTAATTAATTTCTCAGAAGCACACTTTATCAGTCCCCTAATCTAAACATATTAATCAAGCCCGTTCTAAAGCACAAGTCAGGGTTCAGGATGAGCTCTCGGAGGGAGCAGTGGAATACAGTTAGGAGCAGGAATACGCTGACGGAGCTCACTGCCCACCCCCAGTGCGGGCTGGGCTGGCCCTGGGGGACCGTCCTGCTGGGCTCACCTCAGCAGGCCGGGAGCAGCAGTTGGGATTCAAGATGAGGTGGGGAGAGGGCGGGGAGAGGGGGTGGGGAAGGAGGGCTAGAGCACAGGCAGCCTGGAGGCAGCTGGGAACAACTCCCTGGGGGTCTCAGCGGCCCTGCGAGGGGTGCTGACGCTGCGTGAGCAGGGCAGGGTGGCCTCCCGGGGGATTCCGGTTCTGCACCTGCTCCCAGAGTGGCGGCATCCCGTCAGACCCGAAGGCGGGACCCAGCAAGCCCTCCACTGGGGTTCTCGGTGACCATGGCCGGAGAAGGAAGCAGGGCGGTGTGCACAGGTTCCTGTTAGCTGTCACTGAAGACCTGCTGGCTGCGGGTTGCCGGCCTCAGCACCCACAAGAGGAGCCCCTGTGCATTCATGTGGGCACGTGGGGTCGGGTTCCTCTCCAGACGTGCAGTTCGAACTCCCACCCAGAGTGCTGAGTGCTGGAAAGCGATGGAGACGGACCCAGTCCTGGCTCCCCTGGGCCCCCCGCAGACACTGAGTAGTTGCCCCAGTGCTTGTAACTGTGCTGATTGGTACTGGCCATGGAAAAGCGGGCTGCCGTGAGGGC